TGTACTCAGGTGAATAATATGTTTGTGATGTTACTCTGAGTGCATATCCACACCGGGCGAGCTTGAAAAATATGCCCGGCCACGGTGGGATTCGAACACATTGGTATTGAAGGAACTAGATACTGTTCCGAAATATCACTTACTCAAACCGTCCTGACCGCGTAGCTCAGTTGGAAGAGCATTGGGCTGGTATTCCAAAGGTCGTAGGTTCGAATCCCACCGTGGACGGGCATATTTTTCAAGCTCGCCCGGTGTGGATATGCACTCAGAGTAACATCACAAACATATTATTCACCTGAGTACACAACACCGACACAGAAAAAAAAAAAAAAAAAATTCATCCTTAATATCGTTCCTGTCTTTTCATGCATTTCTCTTGTGTTTAGTGTAAGAGCACAATCAACAATTGGGATTAATGTTCTCTTTAAACCAATATTTAAAACGTTTATACTGACTGGTGAAACCCCCAAAAATTTAGTTAATTACAATTTAGAAACCTGTCAAACCACCATGGGCTTTTCATATTTAAGTTAATTATCAATACGATTAATCGATATTAATCGATTGTTGACAACGATTAATCGATTACGAAAATTAACCGATGGGAGCAGCTCTAATAGATTGTACCAGCATTTGCTGTATAAACGTCCCAAATACTGATATAGTCAAACTCTTTATATTTCTAAACTACACTGCAAATGCAACAACAAAATGATATAATTTGTCTTACCCCATAGTTTTCCAAAGCGTAAAAACAACATGGAGTATAAAATATGGCTCCCTCTCCTTCGCGGAAAATGTCCAGTTTTAAACAAATTGAAACGAGAGAAATATTCACTTCTTTTCTCCATATAAACTTTAACCTTCAACAGCGAGAGCAATGCAGGCTTTTGACAATTTAAACAAGTTTAAAAGTAAAGTATATTGTCTTAAAATTTTGGTTTGAACTATTTTGAAAATGCCACACGTGCTTATACTTCATGTTCTTAAAATCAGGGTTGCCAGGTGGTCTGAGCCCGAAAGAGCCAAATGATACGTAAAAAGTAGCCAAATCCGGCCAAAAGAAGACAAAGAAGCCAAAATCGAAATTTAGAGTAAATCTTCCGTATTCAAGCGTTCAACACCGAAAAACAGTAAAGAAAAAACAAGTATTTTATAATTTTCGTTTTCCCGCCGTTCGGGGCGAACCGTGTAAGCCCAGGGAGATGGTACTAATTCTGATCGAATATTTGCGTACATCCGGAATCCCGGATAAATGGATAATGTAATCGAACATAGCAGAGTTTATAACTAACTTTTACTGATGGATGGCAGACTACTTTTGAAAAGTTGCTTATTTCAGTATTTATTCGAAAAGAAGCCAAAGAGCCAAAAAATAGAAAGAAGCCAAACGAGAAATTTGGCTCTTTTAACGCCAAACTGGCAACCCTGCTTAAAATCCCCCCCAAAATACTGCATGCTGATTGGCTAAGCTTTCAAACGTTACATATGCAAATCTGATTGCATTAACTCAATGGACCGACAAGTGTCCAACATAATATATTACTAAAATCACTAAACTGGCCACATCCCGCTAAGAATTTCAAACGGGGAAAGACGTTTGATAATTCCAAATTCAATTTTCGTTCAATAATGTGATCAAATTGTTTCATCATTTTGGTCACATGACTTCACGATTTGACAGTGCTAATTATTCCCAGTCAACGTCGAAACAACTCATTATATTACAAGATGGAGATCATATTTTTGCTAAAAGGGAGATCATATTATAAGATAGATACTAGATAGATTGTTCATTGCGATTATGGAACTTTAAAATGAACATAAAACGAATATTTCATATATTCTGTTGCATTGACCTTCGTTTGCCGAATTTCTGACGTTTAATTCAAAACTACGCACCTGATTGGATAATAAAATTAGAAACTCATGTACAAAAATAAATTGATAACAAAATCGTGAAGTCATGTGACCAAAATGATGAAACAATTTGATCACATGATTGAACGAAAATTGAATTTGGAATTATCAAACGTCTTTCCCCGTTTGAAATTCTTAGCGGGATGTGGCCAGTTTAGTGATTTTAGTAATAACATAATCTAGAATCGAAAAGCCAACAATTATAAATTAAATTTTCAAAGTTTTGTGTATAATCTAATTCTGTCACTTGTTGAACTGTACAGACTGTCACTACCTCCATTCCCAGGCTTGCCCGAGTTTAGGGACCGCAGGCTACTACCTCCAAGGCACTCTTCTCCAAAAAATATAAACAATTTGGTTAATTATTCAGAACAAAATTATCTTAAATTTTACAACCGCAGTTCGTTAAATGTTATCCTGCATAATTAGAAGAAAGTCACTAAACTTAGAAGCATTTTTGGTGAACGATAGATAGACCAATTTCCTCATATTCTTGTTTGGAGATACTCATCTGTTGGAAGGTCGAGAGGGAACCCAAGATGGAGCCGCCAATCCAGACAGAGTATTTCCTTTCTGGTGGAGTGATAACCTTGATTCTCACTCTATGTCGAGCGAGAGAAGTGATCTCTTTTCGCATTCTGTCGGCAATACCAGGGAACATAGAAGAACCACCAGACAACACGATGTTAGGATACAGATCTTCTCTCATCTCGACATCGCATTTCATGATGGAGTTATAGCAGGTTTCATGGATACCAGCATATTTCGTTCCAAGGAATAATGGTTGGAAGAGTGCTTCTGGGCATCGGAATCGCTCGTTACCAATGGTGATAACTTGACCGTCAGGAAGCTCGTATGCCTTCTCCAAGCTAGAACTGGTTGCAGCTGTTTGCATTTCTTGCTCAAAATCGAGAGCGACATAGGCTAATTTTTCCTTTATATCACGGACGATTTCTCTTTCAGCGGTCGTGGTGAATGAGTAACCTTTCTCCGTCAAGATTTTCATGAGGTAATCGGTAAGATCACCACCGGCCAAATCACGACGAAGGATGGCATAACGCAAGGCATAACCTTCGTAGATTGGTACAGCGTTGGAGAAACCATCACCACTGTCGAACACAAATCCTGTGGTGCGACCAGAAGCATACAGAGACAACACAGCTCCGATGGTTACATACATAGCTGGGGTGTTGAATGTCTCAAACATAATCTGTAAAATATAAGAATATAATCAATTCTTTGTCAAATAGTCATCATTTTAGATTGAAATTAACTAATTAAAAAATGGAACTGATTACAGTGTCACATCTTTCCAGGGCATATTAAATTAAAAGTATGCATATTCTTGTCTCTTAAATAAAACACTTAACATCAGAAGTAACTAGATGACTGTGAAGCAATCTTATCATAAATCTACAAAAGTACAAATATGGCTATTAAACGTGTATATTTTAATACCTGTGTCATTTTTTCTCGGTGGGATTTTGGGATTAAGGGAGCTTCTGTAAGGAGGACGGGGTGTTCTTCTGGTGCTACTTGGAGTTCGTTGTAAAATGTGTGATGCCAGATCTAAAACACATAGAAGAATGGGCGTTACCCACAAGCCAAAGCAAAAACATAAAACAAAGCACAAAAACTTACCTTTTGCATATCGTCCCAGTTTGTGACGATGCCACGTTGGATGGGGTATCTCAAGGTAAGGATATCTCTTTTGCTTTGGGCCTCGTCGCCAACATACGAATCTTTCTGCCCCATCACACCTTGATGGCGAGGACGACCGACAACAGAGGGAAAAACAGCTTTTGGCGATTCGTCGCCGGCGAAACCAGCTTTGCACATACCTGATCAAAGAGAACCATTTAGTATTTTTGCAAAATGCAAAACAACGGTAACTCTGAAAAGGAACATTAATATATTCTAGCTTTCGACTACGTTTTAGTCATCATCAGGAATGACGCTGGGTTACATTACAACAATATTTACAGGACATATAGAAGAGATTAATATTAATAAAGAAATAGCTAAATATCATGAGTTCTCTTGATGCCTTAGTTCTGTGATTAAGTTGAGGTTTAAAACGTCGAATGGCAAGCGATTCTTTAAAAAGCAATAAGGACCAATGATCAGATCTGTTTACAATCTTAGAGTCACAGTATTGTTTTAAATTTCTTCAGACATAAAATGTGAATCTTTATTATAAAGGTTAAAATAAAGTTAAATATTGCAGTCTGGGATTAAAAATCCGCCCTGTTTAAAGAAATTTTATAAACCAACACTGTACATATATAGACCCATTGCACATGACGTCACAGTGCCGGTGATGATGCATCTGGAGGAGAAATTACCAATCTATGCATAATATAACTTTTGCAAACAAAGCAAATTTTGTAAAACTTTATAATAATTTTGTATTAAAATTTGTGCTGTATGTGGTTGTTGTACCCGAACAGATACTGTTAGGGAGCATCTGGAGGACACTCTAAGGATTTGTGATGTCAGTGCAATGGGGGTCTGTACCAGACATGTTTCCTCAAACACAGAAACAGTTATTAAATATAAATTCTGGTAGTATACATACAAATTGGAGTTGAGTTAGTTTTATCGTCAGGATATAGTTGGAAAATAGATTTGATATGTTGAAAATGTTCGCACAATGTCCAAGACAATGTGATTGAGATTTCAGATTTGTTGTCATTTGTTGAGATTTCAGATTTGTTTGATTCTGGTGTAGAAGAAGCAATAGGGTCGGGCGGTTAGGGTAAAAACCGTCTGAAAAAAACCCCGATGTTCTTAATGAAAATTTCCTTATGAAAATTTAAAGGAAATTTCATGTGGAAACACTGGGAAAAAATATGGCAGCCATTTCCGTTGCGAATTACGAATATTTCGGTCTTATTTTCGCTCGATGATCCTCAAATACTCTATGCTTCGCGCGCTGTTTCTGCAAGTTTCAAGTATTTTCCCGATTTTTTTGTCAAAAGAAAAATTGATTGAATCTGGTTTTTAAAAAAATTGTTGTTTTTTTCTTCGATAAACCACCCGACCCTAAGAAACAATCTGTTTGATTGATACATCCACCTGTACAGGAAAAATGACAAATTTACTTGTCCTGGATGTAAAAGTCAATATATCAGTAAAACAGATCGCTGCTTCAAATTCTATCGGCATATAACCTTCTGCTTGAAATTCCCATCTACAAAATCCATTGAACTGTTGGTTCTATCAAGCGAGATCCCCCAAATTCAAGATCTGATCAATGGTCTTTAATCGTATGCCAAGAGATCATAATATTTAACTATAAATTCTCTATTAACCCATTAAGCTGCAGAACTTCCCCTTTGACAAGTAAAATCATCTGGCGTTAGACAAGTAAAAAAATAAGTAGGGCGCACTGGGGCTCAATGGGTTAAATATTAATCTCTTCTAATTTTATTGTATATATCAAATTACTTTGATCTCCTCACCTATAAATATCGTTGTAATATAACCTTCATTCCTGGTAAAACGTAGTCGAAAACTAGAATATATTACGAACGGAGTTTACCATATTTGTTTTGTACATACCTGATCCATTATCAACAACTACAGCCGTAAGCAAAATGATTCTTCCATAATTAACAGTCAGACAGGATGTTTTTTGCGAGTAACGTAAGCAATTATGTGCGTCACAACATTGACGTGAAAATTGCTCGGATGTGCAATTATCTTTTCGACGGACACATTTATTTCATGATAGGATTGTAGCTCTAGTACCCTGGATGCCTAACCGTGGTGCCAGAGGTTCTTCCACGCTCGTAGGGAGGATAATGAGGGATACACGAGTATAGCTCTAGTGCCACTGAAACTGTTTTCGAATGTTGTTTTTTGTTAAATTGTCGTAATGTCAGCTTCCGGAACA